CAAGTCTTTTCCCCTTAACATGTTCTCCAGATTTCTCAAGGGTTTTTCCTTGAACCACCGTAAGATTTGGGATGGATGGCTAATAATTTTTTCCACCTTTGATGAATTTTTCCTACCATAAAGGGCTACGGGCCTGTTTTGATGGTCCCCATGTCTCGGCTCGCAAGGACCAATTTCCTTAATTTCGCGATTCACGGTTGTAGGCCTTTCCTTCTCAACAAGACCCCCCCCCCCCTCCTTACACGGCCCTCCCCTCTACCGTAACCCCTGACCCGGTCAGGGCCACTCTTCTACCCTGACGCATGCACCCTACCGGACCTATCCACTTTCGGTATGCCAGCATGAGTCGTTGCAATCGGTATTTATTTCGTAGAAGTGTCCCCCAAGTCCTCTTCTTTGATCGGTGCTACGCCCTGACATACTCTGCGCTACTATTCCGACGTGCGCTTTCCGTTTTAAGCAGGTGCAGTCTATGCACCCGAGACGTAGTACCCTCCCAGGTAATTCCCGTTCGCCTTTGCTTCCCTTTTATCTCTCTCCCCCTTTTCCCTCTCCTTTCTCTATCTTCTCCTCTCTCTCTCTCTCTCTCTCACTCTCTCTTTCCTCTCCTCTCCCCTCTCTCTCTCCCTCCTCCTCCTCTCTCCTTTATCCCTCTTTCTTTCTTTTTTCACTCTCGTTGTCCTATCTAATTTATCTCCTTCACCCGTTCTAACTTCTGTTCTCGTGGTTTGTATGTTGTCTGTGACTATCTTATACCCGAGTGAACTTCGGGCGTCAGCGATTCTACTGACCGCCTACAGCAAGACTTCATCGTTTCTGCAGTTGATCGAAGTTCCTCCGCCAATGTTCTCATGTACTTTCGTCGGTGGCATCGATACATCCTTACGGCCCCTGACTGGGTCTGTGCTTTCTCGAGGCGATTCCATAGATCAGCAATAGCTTTGTGATTTGGTTCCAGACTGCGTTGTGTATGCCGCCGTTGCTGTTCTCCTCCATCTGATCTCCTAAGTTTCATACCCAGTCTGAATGAGTATTTTCGTCGGCGGCATCGATAGATAAGACCCCTCACTGGGTCTGTGTTTTTCGAGGCGATTTCAGAGATCAACTATAGCTCTGTCATTCAGTTCTAGACCGTGTTGTGTATGCAGCTGCTGACTGTTCTCCCGCATCAGATTTCCTAAGTGCCTCCCGCGGCCACAACCGATCGGAACGGGCGAGGACCCGACATCTGTCCTTTTACTTTCCTCTTGAATATCAGCGGGATCTTTTGGGCTGGCGGAAACTCTATGTGACAGTCTTTCATTCTATTCTCTACCCGGCCGGACCAGTTTAGCAGTTGCTGCTTTTCGCATCTGGTTCCCTGATTGGAAACGGTTGTTGGAACCTTTTACCGCTCAGCAGATGTCTCTTCTCTCGTCCTGATTGTTTCATATTATTGGATCTGTGTTCTGCGGTTTCCGGGACACCTTCGGTTCTAACCTGACTACTGTCTCTTTCTTTATGACTTTTATCTCCCCTCCTCGCATGGCGTCCGGATCAAGTTTCTGCCTTTTTCCCTATTCTACTTTGCTCACCTCCTCCTACTCTTCTTTGCCATTAGAGTTGTGTGATCCTTTGTTGTGTGACGATGTCGAATGATAGGTGAACTCTGTGTGATGGTGACTATATATTGGGTTTTTTTTATCTCGCTTCCTACGCGCTCCTTCGTCCCCAGACGATTCCGTTTCTGGTTGAAACGATCATAGAGACTTCGCCAGCATGGCACTACATGTTTTACGCTGATTTTATATAGTGCTTGATTTTTTGCGCGTACTCTATGGGTACTTTCTTATGTGCTTTTTCCTTTTCTTGCTCTCTTTCCCTTTCCTCCATCTCCATCACCATGGTTGTTCTTTACATCTCCTTTCATCTATAATCTTTGTTTCGCCCTGTTTTACTTTGGTGTTAAACGTACTACTGCGTTACCATCCTCTTTTCGGTAGCGTCTTAACCACTTCGTTAATCGCAGTCTGGTGTAGGCGCATCTGGCTCRCGACCCTGATCTGCTTTTGTTTGGTCCCAACCTTACATCGCAGTTTTCAATCGCGCTGCCTAAATTTTCTCCTTTCACCACCATCTTCTACTTTTATGGCATYTSTCATCCATTTTCGTGTTACGATCCGCTCAGCTTCTGGTGAACCAATCGAGATTCAGACGTGTTTTCTACTTGCATTACGACGGATCTCAAGCTCAAGTCTTTTCCCCTTAACATGTTCTCCAGATGTCTTAAGGGTTTTCCCTTGAACCACCGTAAGATTTGGGATGCATGGGTAATAATTTTTKCSSCCTTCRATGATTTTTTTYCGCCATAAAGGGCTACGGGCTTGTTTTGAYGGTCCCCATGTMTCGACTCGCAAGGAATGATTTCCTTAATTTCGCGATTCACGGTTGTAGGCCTTTCCATCACCATGGTTGTTCTTTACATCTCCTTTCATCTATAATCTTYGTTTCGCCCTRTTTTACTTTGSTGTTAAACGCACTACTGCGTTACCATCCTGTTTACTCCACAGGCGCACACACACACACACACATAGGTCGGATCAGTGTTGTACCCCCGTTCACCGTTCACGGGGTCTGTGGACGGAGACCGGTCATGGAGTTCACCG